GGGGGGTGGAGGTGAAGGGTTTAGGGGGGTGGAGGTGAAGAAGGGTTTAGGGGGGTGGAGGTGAAGGCTTTGAGAATCAGGGATTGAAAAAAGAAGGGTTTAAGGGGAGGAGTTTAAGGTGAAGGGTTAGCGTGAAGGGTTTTGAGGTGGATGAAGGGTTCGAGTCGAAGCGTGCGTGCATACAAAGTGGGGCGAGCGTCTTCACATGAATAGAAGGCCCCGGTCATTAGGGCTGTATTTGGGGCGACCTTTTTTCAGTCTCGGTACAGCGATTATGACAGGGCGTTCTATTCTGGTGAAGACAGTACCAAAATAGGCAAGCAAAATGGGCTAGCAAAATTTGGGGCTAGCAAAATTTGGGGCTAGCAAAATGAGGGCTAGCAAAATGAGTAGAACTGCCGACGGTAAACCGTAGGCAGAGAGGGAGGGAGAAGAGAAGAGGACAACAAACGAGGGGCTGCGACAAACTGTTTCGTCGGAGTGTTTCACCGACTCAGCAGGAGGCGATATATACATATATTTTTTACGATTATGATGCCTTGTGTTCTTCATGCATGCATCACCCTATCATTAAGAAAAGAAAAGAAGCAGCAGCAGCAGCAGCAGCAGCAGCTAGTGAGCGCAGGTTGCAGCTAGCAATAGGTCCTCCTCCGCCTGTTCTTGGAAAGTCTGAGAATCGAGAGCGGCAGAGACGGACTGTCCAGATGAGAATGGTGAGATTAGATCCCTTACATTATGAAGTCTAGACTTTCCTATATAGGTAGTTGACTGGCCATTAGCTGGACAAACTCCAGGCTGAGTTTCCTTTCTAGGAATGCAAGTCCCTCCAACTTTGCTTTGGCACTTGCCTGCTTGTTTTTGGGAAGGACATCTGAAACGGTGAAAAAAACGAGTATGAATCCAGAATGGATGCAGTCTCGGAAAAAAATAAAAAGATAGAAAAAGAGATATCGGCAAAAGAAGAAGAAGAGGAGGAGGAGGAGGAGGAGGAGGAGGAGGAGGAGGAAGCTGGGACCTCAGCAAATACGGGAACAAAAAAAAAAAAAGAAAAAAAAAAGGATTTCGCCATCCTTCAGATAATTAAGGTCTGCAATGCTAGTCAGTGTTCTCTCAGCACCCCTCACGCCTGTGGCAAACCACTGGGATTATCACAAAGGATCGGAAAAAAAAAAAAAAAAAAAAAAGGTGGAGCTTTCGCAGTTTACAAGTAAAAATAAAAAGATGCAGGCTTGTCAGATTATTACTATTATTATTATTATTATTATTATTATTCCAGCGGCCTAGCTCAGTTGGTAAGGCACGCAAGTGGCACTCAGGAGGTCTTGGGTTCAATCCCCATTGGCCTTTCGTACCTTCCTGGGCAAGCTTGGCGCCCGCCGCCACCTAGAGATAGGTGGTTGGTACCCCTGAGCGACATTGAGCAGAGATAGGTACTGACCAGATCAATTCCCTTTTTGGTGAGGACTGGCTGCGAGAGGAGGGGAGGGGAGGGGAGGGGGGGGGGGGGGGGGCGAGGAGGTTGGATGGCGGCTACAACCGAGGAGCGGAATGAACAGAACACACAGGAAGGCAGCCCCCTGTCTAGGGACTACCGCCTATGGTAGTATAGCGGGACTGGACGAACATTGGCCCCGGGATCCCGGCTTAGGCCTGCGCAGGATTTTGGAGACCTCCCCCCCCCCACCCCCTCCACCCCCAAACCCCCAAACCACAAATCCGCTAGCCTCCGTTGACAGCCTGTGAGGCAATGAACTGAGAACCGTGCTTTTACTGTATTTTTTTTTTTTCATTCTCTTTTCATTTCTTTTTACTTCTTTTTACTTCTTTTTACTTCTTTTTTCACTTCTTTTTACCCCTTCGTCTTCTCCCTGCTCCCCTTTATGTTTCTTTTTACTTCTTTTTACCCCTTCAAGCCTTACCCCCGACCCCCTTCTTTTTACTTCTTTTTACTTCGTTTTTTCTTCCGGATCGGGGGTAAGGCTTGAAGAGGACTGAGGGGCGGGACCCCGCTGGTGGGCCCCAGAGGGGGGTCCCCGTGCCTACACAGTCAGAGGGAAGGGAGGGGTGATTTTTGGGTAGGAGGAGAAGAAAGACAAAGGGGGCTACGTTTTGAAAGTTCTGGAGGGTATCAGTGAGGAGTGGCCCCATAGCGGTTCCAAACTTGTAAAACTTGATATGGATGGATGGATGGATGGATGGATGGATGGATGGATTGGTTAACAGTGCAGATGAAAAGGAAGATGAGGAGGATAGAGATATGAGTCAATAGATGAATGAATATGGAGAGGAACGGATAAATAGGATGAATAGATAGATAGGGGGGGGGGGGGGGGATAAGGATAAGATGAAGGAAAAGATCTCTAGGTGTATGGATTGATTGATTCGTGGATGTACTTTTGAATGGATTTGAATGGATTTGAATGGATCTGAATGGATTGAATGGATTGAATGGATTGAATGGATTGATGGATGCAGAAAGATATGGGTAGGATTGACTTGTCAAGATGGATGGATAAAGGAAGCGGTGGGTGAATTGATAAATGAAAAAATGGATGAGGAGTTGGGGATAGAGCTGCCATGGATTGAATGAGCAGATGGATTGCTGCATTGGTGGACGCAAAAATAGATGGGTAGGATCGCCTTAATATGGATGGATTGATGAATGACAAAATAGATTAGTAGGATTAACTTATGGACGCATAGATGAATTGCTGCATTGATAACTGATATGATAAATATATATATATATATATATATATATATATATATATATATATATCGTCAAATAGAACTGCCCGGTAAACCGTAGGCAGAGAGGGAGAAGAGGACAACAAACGAGGGGCTGTGACAAACTGTTTCGTCGGAGTTTATATATATTTATATCGTCAAATATATATATATATAATATAATATAATATATATATATTATATATCGTCAAACAGAGCTGCAGACGGTAAACCGTAGGCAGAGAGGGAGGGAGGGAGGGAGGGGAGGGAGAAGAGGACAACAAACGAGGGGGGGCTGTGACAGACAGACTGTTTGGTCGGAGTGTTTCAGTCACCGACTCATCAGGAGGAGGAGGCTGAACCCTCAACAGTCTGCAGAATACCCTAGGAACTGATTAATTACACTGTAAGTGATAATAATGTGGGTTTAAAATAAAGGACAAACCACTCTTGTCTGCAAAAAAAAGGAATCCCAGCTACATATCTATATACAGCAGACGGCCTTGTTCGACATCAAGAAGTGGGCATTCCTATGACCGTTCTTACTGGGACAAAAAAAAACATAAAAGACAATCCCAGATGATGATTCC